CGCCTTGAGGGGCCTCCTCTACCACCCCCTACAGATCTCCCCACTCGACAAGCCACGCTCCATAGCGACTTCGCCCCAGCCAGGTGAGGCTCCCAGGAAGGCAGGCTTTTCTGAGCCACTGCACACCATGGGCTTCTGCACAGCCTTGTGATCCTGAACGGCCTTGCCGCTGAGAGGCCTACGACCAACAGTGGGAGACACCCTGGCTGCACCGAGGGGGCCCAGAGGACACGGCCCTCACCAGCTCTCAACTTCTAAAACCCTGAACATATATATATGTTCCTTTTCAAAATTTCTCCAAGACAGGGTCAGCTTAATTGGCATGTGAACTTGTTTTCTCTCTCAAAAATATGAGCTGGAAACATTTTTAAGCTAATGTTCGCGGTATTCCTCGTGAACAGTGTCAACGACATAACACCTAAAATGTCTTTTTAAAGTTCTCTGGGGGCCAGTGACTAAGGAAGGTGGATCCCACGTGGCTGACCACGTTCAAGCCCTGGACCAGGCAGCTTGAAAAACACCTGGGCGCCTGCCCAAAGTGCCACAGGAGGAGAGATGGAGAGGGACCGCAGTGTGACCGGCCCTTGGGGCTGCTCACTCCCGCTGCCTTTCTCTCCCTCTCTCTGTCTCTCTCTGGCGGCTGCACGCACCCCCTGCAAATTAAAGTAAAATGTGGGGGGTGGGGGCAGGGAGGCAGGCCTTTCCACCTCTAAGCACCTGTTCCAGCCTCATATACCTTTCAGTCTTTATTCAAGCATTTAAAATAAGAACTACTCATTGAAGGGCAACAAAACATCAAGTGAATCCGTGCCGTGCCCTGAAAGCTGGGCTTTCTCTGCATCTTCCCATTATTCAGCTGAGCCACCGGTGGTGGAGTATTCTAGACAAATTGTGAATGTTAAAGACAGATGCCACCTAAAACCACACAGCCTTGCTGAGAAGCAGCACCTCACAGCCAGTACCCCATCTCCAGGGGGATTCTCCCGCTGCCTCTGCATCTACCCCACTATTACCGGTGTCCCAGGAGGTCCAGCCGCCTGTGGACCCTCGGCAGCAGCTGCAGGCTGCAGGAACGGCCAGGAAAGCCACCTGAGGGGTGCTGCTGCCTTTGGAATGCAAAGATGAATGACCCTGGCTGCCCCTGCCCCTGCCCCTG